ACGCACAGAGGTTCGGGTTCCGGGTTCCCCAGCCAAATTGGGAACCTGGTGCTTCAATTTGCAACCCGGTGCCGAGGAACGGCTGTGCACACAGGAGTCGGGTTCCGGGTTCTCGATCGCAACCTGGTTCCTCGAATTTGCCAAAATTTGGAACCCGGCCGTAGGGCTGGGTTCCGAATTACAATCGGGTTCTTGTTCGTAGAAAACAGGTTGTCGAGTTGCCTGTGTGCATAGCGGGTTGCCGGGTTCCAGGTGGCCGGGTTCCGACTTCCGATACTGTAAAATTGGCTTTGGAGCCCCAAAATCGGCACCGAGACCCAACTTTGTGTGTGCATAGGCCCTTGGAATCTGGATACCGGTATTCTAGGTTGAAGTCTGCCCGCCCAATTACGGTACCTATTATGATTGAGTCTTGACCATTGACGGCGTCAAAGACCCTGTCAGAACGCTGCAGAAACTCCGGAGCCGGCAACGGCACACGGGGGTCTCGAGTCGCAGCAAATTTGGACAAGGTTTGAATAACTAGCCTGGATAACTATATTTCGACTTCGATTTAACCGTCAGGTTTGATACGTATTCCACTTGCCCACCGAGTATTCTAAGTCGAGGTCGGAGGTGTTCTCGTTTTGTTTTTAAAACTCAGCCCAAAAACTGAAATCGAGGTTACTGCAACAAACAAGTTGTAGATGACAAGCACTTGCCCCGGCCTGCCGTTGACTCTGATCAGTTTGTACGGACTCTTAAACTAACGTCCAAACGACACCGTTGCACAGAAGGTCCTCGCTGCATGAATATGAATCGGCTGAGACCTGAGTGCCAGCCTCCAGGCTGAGCTAAAGTACGGTACAGTACTTGCCGGCAGTCGGCCCAAGTTTTGGGTATGCAAGTTTTAGGTTAACGGTTAAACGTTGGCTCAAGCTACATTCTAGAGAAATTTGTGTGGATGTTTGGGGGCGCTTTGGGGCGCCCTCCTAATTTTGCTGCCAGTCCCGCGCTGCGCCAAAATCTGTCGATCCGGAACATTGTTCTTCAACTGGAATGTGCTTTGTTTTAGCTTGCATAGAATTTGTTAACCCTTCGCCAACGGTCAGCGACCAAAGCCGCTGCCATGCCGTTTTGCGTCAGAGATCGAGTCAATACGGTACTTTGTTGGCGACTGGGTGTCCAGGTGTATTCTATGACTTGGTCACGTCGTCCAAGTTTGTAGTAAACTAGGCGGTTACGGCCTGTACGGCAGCTCGGGTTACCGCAAAAAAATCGCAGCCATGCGGCAAACAGAACATCGGCCGGCGGCTCTGCTTCACGGCTGCAGACTCCAGAGTCGTGCAGACAGAATGTCAGCGATTTGTTGGGTTAAGTGGCGACATCGGGCGGCCGCCGGCGCCTTTAAGTAGCTGCCAATTGGCGTGCGCAGCTTGGTTACCGAGCTTCTAGGGTTGCGAATCGCGATCCAGGATGCGGCTGAACCCTGCTCAGAAACGCAGCAGGCATACACCGCATGTCGTAATCTCGAGCTTGCTAACAATATGTAGGTGGAGCAGCAGGCGCGTCGCCGCCCTAGCTGCTGCTGCAGGAGCTGCAAATATGATGCCACTTTTTTGATGGTGCTCGCCAATAATAAGCTGTCAGAGAGCGAGTTGGTTGAGCGACCGGGGCGTCAGCTTGCGAGACCATACAAAGAGGGGAGTCAGCTCCTGAATGTCGCCCTGACAGGATGCGTTGCGCACCGACAACGAGCTCCTTCTCCTGCGGCAAAACTGATCATCTCATCATGAGCCAAACAGTTCCTTGGGGCCGGTCAGCGCTGCAGGCTTACCCGCAAAAGCTTGCAAAGCATATCAATGTAGCATCTATCAATGCTGTTTGCAGCGCAGGGACAGATGCACGCGCGTGGAAGCCCTGTTTTCTGAAGGAGACCTGCACAGCTGAGAGAATTCGTTGCGAAGAGGCGCAGCTTTCGAAGCAATTGCGCGGTCAATGCTGGGTCTGGCGGACAATAGGGCTTCTAGAATTCGGTGAATGAAGACAGATTAGTCAGTCCTCGTTTGAAGAGATTGTTTGTGATTCACAGCTAGAAAGAGGGCCATTCTATAAGGCTGTAAAGCCTAGCTGAGGAGGGGTCACTGTGGCAGCTTCAACGGCGCGGCAATAAGGACAACCAGCAGCTCCAACATTGAAGTGAGTGTTTCCTGGAAAGAGTCAGGCTAGATTTTTCTAGCGAGCAGGGTCAAGAAAAGGTGGTGCGATGCTGAGAAGTCTGCCCAGCCTCCTTGCATACGCAGCGAACAATGATCAGCAGTGGCGCTAAGAAATTGAAGGGGCACAGAACCTGTATCCCTCGGATCTGGACTTTTTCATAGAACGGGAATCTGCTTTTCTTTCTGACAGTGCTCCTCACCGCATTCAGATTGTTTGATTATTTTCTCAGGTGATGTCGTGAGTGCCTGCATCAAATCACCGGTAGAAGGATCTTGAATGAAGCGCCTGACCTTGCAAGTGCTCCGCACAGGCCTATCTGAAGAGGTCATCATGCAATCAGACAGTAGCCTGATAAAGGATGGCCCGGCACTGGATAACCATAATGCGCTTGTTATTCTGGAAGAACCTAGTTGTTTTCAAAGCAGGTGAAGTTTGAAAAGCGACCCTTCTTCTAGGTGCTTATTGCCAGACTTTGGCAGAGGGAGATTTTCATTCCATCCTTTTACCAACTCGTTCCTTTCCCCTGCTGGGAGCATGGATTTGCGCGGGCCTACTCGATGACTTCGGCTTGTCTGCTTGAGTGTTGTGAAAGCATACATTTGCTTTGGAGGT